AAAGCCAAGGCTCTGGCTCGCTTCCTCTCACCTCTCAGGCCACTGTGAGATTGCCTCTTGTGTACCACACGTGTGCCACAGCTAGCACTTCTCAAGCCCCAGTGTGAGGAGCCATACGTGCAGGTTTATTGGCTTTACCTGAACTGACATCAACTGACACCAAGCTGTCCAAGGTCAGCTTCAAAACATAGCCACACGTAAGATTATTTGGGGCCTTCTTGCCTCTTAACTAGTATTACAGCTGTAGCTTAGTATTAGGGCTGTTTCACAAATCATGGGGAGAGAGGCAAAGTGGCGAAGCACATGTTCATGAAGTCTCATGTCCCGAATCAGAACCCAATTCTTACGTCTTGCAGGACAGTCCTTTCACCATTAGAACATGCAATCTAACCTTTTTTTGGGAAAAAAATAAAAACAAAACAAAACAAAATAAAATAAAGTGAGCCTGCCTTTGCACCACCTTGATTTTGAGCTCACTCATGAAACACCAATGACTTCTGAAGGAACACAGGGATGACGCCATTGACAGATTTTGCATCAGTTAGCTGCAAATAAAGTTATTTGAAATAAGTGCCAAAGCCTAATTTATCAGACTTTTTCACAGATTCCACAAAAGCAAGGAAATTTGAAGTTGAAAGGCTTTCTCCAGGCAGCGCATGCCAGGCATTTGTGCATGAATTGCAGGAGGGGAAATGATATGTTTCTTTTAGAGCTGTTGTTGCCATCATGGAAAGCGAACAAGCATCTGTGCCTCGGAAATCAGTGGAAGGAAGGTGTTCCGTGAAAGAGAGCATGTGGGAAAGCGGCTTGAAATGGTGAGAGTGTATGAAAGTAGCAGGAGTTCTGAATGCCACTGGGGAGAAGAACTGGAAGAAGGCTGACACATAGAAAGGTGGCGAGAAAGCAAAAAGAAATGCAAAGAGGAGTACACTGAAGGGGGGAGAGAGAGAGAAATTTGGCTAGAGAATTGGTCTGAGCAAATTCCAAAAGTGAGAGAGGAACAGGGAAAGAAGGAAAAATTATAGGGCAGATGGAAAGTTTCCCTATTGGATGACTGGGCAGGTGAATGTGTAAGTTAACGTTTTGGTGTGTTTTACTATGGAAACAGATATAAATCTGAAAATCAGATGTCCAGGAAGGATCCCTGATGCAGCTATGTTCTGTACATTTATCCTACACAAAGTCTGTAAGATGATTGTCCTCTGTAGCATTTGCCACTGATCCCGAAAAAAAAAAAAAAGAGAAAATTCACATTTGGCAATATTTGATTCAAGAGGGCTGCTTACCTTAAATCTGTGTGAATAGGGCCTGCACCATCAGCCCCAAAGTTCTTAATTTCACTCTGAGGCTGACTATTTCCTGCGTGACAACGCTGTGAAGCTGAATCCGGAATACCAATTTAATACTTGAGTGCCCAGAGTCAGGCAGGCACTCTGCATAAAAGTCTTCTCTTGTGAGCTCTGAGTGCCTGCAGCTCTCCGCGGGAGGTGCTGGGTGCTAAGCACCTCCGAAATCCAGGTCACTGTCACTCGGGAGCTCAGGAAGGAACCGAGATGCCAAAGTTGGAGACTAAACTTACAAGTGATGTCATTGCGGAAGGGCTGCCACACTTTGGGTCAGTTGAATTTTGGTAGTAAATGGGTAAATGTTTTTAATACGTATGCCTGCGTAGCTCACAAACCCTTTAGAGGTCATAAGAGAATAAAATAAAGAGGGAACGAGAGAAGAAAAGCAAGATGGGGTGAATTAATAAACAGAAAGGGATGGGGATGTTGTTCAAGCCTTATTTTAGACTAGCTTGGGCACGCCTCGTTGGCTCTGAATGCAAACAGTTAGTTAGGAGCCTAAAATAAACATAATGAGGTGGTGGTGGGGGGGGGGTTCCACATAATGCATAATGTAACTGTGGAACACATGTCCACAGGCTGGTCTGGGGAACAAAAGTCCAAACAGCTTCAAAGAAGAGCTTAGACGAACCAGACTTGGAAGCTTTGGGAAATGCACCCATTTTGGTTTATTAAACATGAGGGACTTGACGGAGCATCTGGCTGTCAAGTCTCTAAAATATAGATAGGTGGGATCTGGGTGGACGTGCCACAGGAAACACTTCTCTGTACTTGCCTGATTTCTCATTCTCCTCCACTAAGCATCTCACACCGGCTCTTACCAGAGGCACGACACTCTCGTATTGCATTTTGCATTAACAGCTTATGGTTTCCCTTCTACAGCTTTCATTTGTGTTGGCCTGGATGAATTGTTCTTCCTGCTGTACAGCAGCAATAACTATGATTGCCATGTTGTTAACATTTAAATCATGTTAGAGCATGCATTGAAGTGGCAGGCAGGCATTTTAATTACGCGGGTTAAAGGAGAGCAGATGCAGTGAATCAAGTGCTAGGTAAAAATAAATGCACGTCCCCTTGTCCCGTGATGGTCACTACTCCTGGTCAAATTCAAAAGCAGAGGAAAGCATATTGAAAAACACCTATATTGATCAGTGGACTCAAGGGAAACATAAAGATAGCATGATATAGTCTGGATGAATACCTTTGTTTATCTTGTTTTAATTTCCCCAAAGTCATCTAGTTAGTGCTATTTAAAATCCATTGCTTCATTCAGACACAGAATTGCAAGGACAGATTTCAATGGCTTTGTTTAACTTGGCTTACCTAAATAAAATTTTTTTAAACCATTTTATTTATCCTCTAGGTTGACTTTCAGCTATCTGGACCTGGCTTCCAGAAAAAAAATTACAGCCTATATGTTAGTAAGGCAGTGAATAGGCACAGGGTGAGAGGAGCCCCTTAGTACATGCCCACTTCCTTGAGTGTTCTGGGCTTTAAAATTCATCAGCAAGCAGAAAGCTAGAGCCAAACCTCTGGTGCTGAGCCCTCTCGCTGTGCCGCACTGTTCAGCAAGTAGGTAGTGGGTTTTTCAGGAACTGGATCTTTGAGGCACACTTCAAAGGGGCGTCATAAATAGAAAGGTACAGAAACCAAAGGCACCGGTGACTTCTGCAAAGTTTACTTCAGAGGAAATGTCCAGCCAGCTGTGGTGGATAATATATAGCTCCCTGCGCAAGCAAAAAATAGACAAAGACAGAAAAAGGTGTACTGATCTTCTCCCCTCAAACTGAGCATTACCAGCAGGAAGACAGAACATCTAATATTCCATCTATGCTTTGATTATGCATGTGAATAGCAAGCTGCAAAATATACATAACACTTCATAAATTACACATATTTAGTCCCTGTGAAATAAGCATTTTAACAGAGAAATGCTTCAATTTATTTATTTAAATCCATAGAAAATTTGCATATCGTATATGTTTGCCAGTTTCCTGCTCTACTATGGCTTTAATCATCGGGTTGTATCACACTACCCACTAATTGTGGAATGGTTTAGGGAGTTTTTTAACCTATTTTTCATCTCAAAGACAAACTCCTACTTTTTCTGCTAGACCTTCCCAAATCACACCATCTCCCGTGATTTTAAAGGATGCTGGGATGGAAATTACTGAAAAAAAAAAAAAAATCCACCTGAAATGTACAGATTTGTGGTGTTGGAGTTGAAAAGCGGGTGTGTGAGTAAGCCTTTGTTCAGTATGGCTGTCATCTACTCTCTGCTGCATTTCACTTTCACCCAGATCATGAACTCCTCAGGCAAGGGACCATCTCCTTTGTTGTAGTTTTAAAATGAGTCTGATTGGAGTTTTCCACCGCTACCAGAGTGCAACTAAATATAAATCCTAAATAGTTAATAGGTGGTCGAGTTGCAGAGGCGGGGCTAATCAGCTGAGGCTTCATGGGGTGGTTAATGATGGATTAGGAATGGGAGAACTGATAAAGCTGAATACTTAAAGACTAATATTGTGCAGGGTGATGGATGCTTTGTCAGCTTTGATTGCATACAACCAGAATTAACATTGTGCTTATCTCACTCCTGCTTCTTCAGTAGATTACTCAGCTCCAAAACACTGCTGTTTTAAGAGTCTCTGTCCAAATTCCCCTGAGCAGAGCACTGCCAGGCAGAGGAGACGACCTAGGAGGCTGTCTGACGATTGAGATTGGGTTGGGAGGTAGAAAACCGGTGACTCTCTGAAGGAGGGGTGTTATCAGCCACACACCTCCCTGCTCAGCTTGCTGAAACGGAGGGGATTTCAATTGATTTTGTTTTCTTCGCAGCACGAGCTGGAGAGCCGGTGAGAATGGATCTGTGTGTGGTGAGCGTGCAGCACCGGAGGGGCACGTCCCATCCTCTGCGCAGCGCTGCCCAGAGCCACCGGCAGCTTCGGCTCCTGATGCGTGGTGGTGTGTGCTGACTGCCTTCCCTGCCACTGTGGTTTGTGTGCAGGGTGAAAATGGTAACGTGCACCTACCCACACAAGGCGTCCCCATCTCTCACAGCTGTATTTGTTTACTTGCTAAGTGAAATCAAAATAATTATGCATTAATTATCATTTATTAGCCAGCAACAAATCTTTTCCTGATATTAGTGTCTCAGTAGGTATATTTAGGCTTAAAAATTAGTACCTCTTAGTGCCAAATTCTATCCGAGGCATCTGACTCCTACTGACACTGAATTATTCTGTTGTGTTTTTTTTTTTTTAGTGTCTAACTACAGGATCAATAAGCATTCATCCTTCTCTGTAGTCTCTAGGCTAATAGGAAGATAGGCAGCCTTGTAGACAAGGCACAGACAACGAGGTCAAGAGAAGGGAATTCGTTTCCCAGCTTGCCTTAGGGGTTTTGTGAAGCCTTGGACAAATCACACAACCTCTAAGTTTAAACCTCCTGACTTCCAAAATGGAAATGATCATAACTGTCTACCTCCCCAGGGCGTTAGGAAGTAAATCAATTCTCTGTGTGTGAGGTGTTGGTTGTTGGTGGGGGGACAACTTGGGTGATTTGGAAGGAACAGACATATTTCTGTTAGCTTTCATTTTTGGAAATAGTCCTGGAGTGCATCCTAAGCTTCAATGTATTAAAAAATTAAACAACATCTAGGACAAGATCTGGTTACATAGTGTGTAGTTGGTATAATGTATTAACATGTCTAGTCTCATTCTCCTATGGACATTGTTTATTTTGCATAAGGCCAGGCATAACTATGAAAGACTGAAAGGTCAACTCTTCCTCAAGCAAATGAAAGTGCTTTGCAAAAGTTTTGCTTTAGATGGCAGTCAGGAAAGTGTTTTCACATTTCATTTGTTAGAACAGATATCAAGAGCTGGCATTAGCGCTGGCTTTGATGTGTTCTCTGGTATGTTAGTCCAGAGAATGCTGCTGTAAACAGAAGTGTCTCTTCACCTTCCATCTTTGTTCTTCAACTTTGATACTGGCCCCCTGCAGTGGCTTCTTTCTGCTCCTGGGGAGGCTTAACAAAGTCAATTGAGAGAGAAAAAAGAACCCTCAGTTTTCTTCTCTGCTTAAGACTCAAAAAGAAATAGATACATCTATTGTACAGTCACTATTGAAACAGTGTGGGTTTTTCTCTTGAATCCTCGGGGGAAATGAACCAAGGAGAAAGGAAAAAAAATAATAAAATAAAAATAAAATAAAAATAAAATAAAAATAAAATAAAAATAAAATAAAAATAAAATAAAAATAAAATAAAAATAAAATAAAAATAAAATAAAAATAAAATGCATGCTGTTTTGTCCACAACTTAAAATACAGTAGGTACATCGTACTTTTGCTTCTGACTTTTTTTTCTTTGATGGGCAGAGAGAGAAAAACTGAGGAACTCTAAATTATAGTCAGTACAAGCAGCAATGCCTCTAGGTAAGACTGTCCATCATTACCCATCATAAGACCCTGGCTTTAGATGCTTGTAACTGTCAAATTTTAACTAATTTGTAATGAGTTTTTTTCCATGATTGGTGTGTCAGCCTGTAGCTGATTTTTAAAACAGTTCAGTCAGTTTGCAAAAGGTGGTTGGTGAAAAATACACTATTTTGCTCATGTTAAAAATACTGTTGGGCTGCATAACAGAAACTTTTGTTTTCTTGTTTCCCATCTAATCTTGCATTCTGAAACTGAAATTTGGCACAGGATTTGCCAAGGGTTTGAAGACTAGGAAATTTCTCAGACTTTACATTAAAAAAAAGTAGATACCCACCAGAACGGTCTTTCCACATTCTGTTGTCTGAAAAGTCCAACAGTAATGGATATCTGTGGTAGGCTTACCTAGGCTCTCCTGCCATGGCTTTCCTGAGCAATAGGGGCTTTGTGGAGGTCACCACAAGAGCTGAGAGGGTTCTGCTGGTGCTCCCACCTGTAAATGAAGAGTCCATGATTAGGATGCAGACCATGCAGGAAAGAGGATGATTGGAACTTAATGAGAAAAAGATGAGGAGGCTGTGACAAGAATGAGAAAACACCAGCCAGCAGGGGTGGTGTGTGTGATTGGAGCAAAGAAGTTAGGAGGGAGAAACTATGATCCTGGACCAGGAGTCAAAAAGGGACTGTCCAAGCATGACTGTTACTTTGTTAACAGGAGGGAAAGGGATCAAAGCATTGGGCTGACAGTGAGAGCCAGAGGGTCCTTGAATATTACAGAATAATCCTTTCAAAGAGTTTCAATAAATAAATAAATAAAGCTGTGGAACTCTCTGACAAAATGCATGCTTTATTTCTCTAGCAGTTGCTGAGTTTAAAGAATGCCAACCTACTGCTGCTGTTTGTGGATCCTGAGTAAGCTGTAGTGGCAGTGACTACGTTACGGGTACCAAGCTTCTTGCCCTACTTCTAAACCATTTGGACTTGGGGGAATTCTGCATTAAGGGGGCAGAGATGTTCAATTTCTTAGAATAACATAATGAGCAGCGATTTTGAAAAGCTGAAGTCTCACACATTAGGAGACGGTAGGTTTACTGCCCATGGAACCATAATTCTCCCTACTCTGTCTATATGTATTATTTTAAGTAGACTTTAATTGCATAATCATGTTAGTTTTTCACAGAACACTTCCCACATTAAGTGCAAGAATGGCTGTGGCTCAGGAAATGAATCAAGGAACATGTCACCATTACAGGTTGAGGTGCCTCGGTAGCTCCTCTTAAGTGCGTCCCTCTGGCAATTTTCATTAGTTTAGTCTTTCTGCGCAGAAACATGCCATTGCATCCTGTCATTTTTAGACTGTTTATATGCTGACACTCACTATTTAGCAACAGCTTGTTCTGTGACAGTAGCTAACTAAGCTGACTCGATGGCATCTCCTTCAAAGACAAGCCTTGTTCTCTCAGGGAAGGGTAGCACGGAGAGCAAAGTTCGCACCAGAACCGTAATTTGTAAGATTTTGAAAGATTTTGAAAGAATTTGAAATATTTGTATAATCTTTCCTGTCATTGCAGGTTCTCTTTATTCTAGTTTTTTTCCCTCTAATCTGGGATAGGCCGCTTGCTACAGATGTGCCCAGCTGTTGTCCACTGCACAGCCAAATCCGCTTCCTAGGAGAATAATTTTTAAAGTTTTGGAATCCATTTTGAGTCTTGCCTGTAACCTGTGTTTATACAGGTAAGAAATGTAACAGCTCCACTTCTCACGTGAATGTGGTCAATGGGGCTTTTCTTATCAGAACTCATCTAATTTGTTGCCACAAAGCTCAGACATCACAGGTTAGCGGTTGGTTGATGCAAAGGTAAAGACAGGATTGTGCGAGACACCTAACTCGAGGCTCTGAAGGTGGCCAGAGGATTTTCCTTCTGTAGCAGGTACAGAAAACACATTTTCTGCATTCACAAAGGGTTTGGACATTTTCTGCCTTCACATAAGGTTTGGGCACACGTAGCTGCAGAGAGGGGTCAGTGATGGCTGTGGGAATAACAGGATATGAAATGACACACAGCAGACCACGCTGTGGAACTACAGGACCCAGATATCTTTGACTGGGCCGTTAGTTGTTGCTTTCAGCATCAAAATTCGGCTGAAGGTGCCTCTTCACAAAACCCTCGGCGGCGTGACGGAGCAACAAGGGGAAAGCCCCCAAACCCATCTCCCACACGGAGCGGGCTTCTGGTGGGGACCGGCGCTCGCTTCCCCCGTGCGCACCGCAACAAGGGGAAGAGGAAGAGAAAAGGGAAAGAAAAAGAGAAAGGGAAGGAAGGGGAAGGAAGGGAAGAAGGGGAAGGCGGGCTGAGGCAGCGCCGCCCTCGCTTTCCGGCGCTGTGCGACGCTCAAAATGGCCGCCCCCAGGGCGCCCCCAGCCCGCCGCCATCGGGGCTGAGGCGGGATGTGGGGGGCCCTGCTGCGCCTGGGGGGGCGGCGGGGGCTGGCGGGGGCCGCCCCGCCGCCCGCCGCCCCCTGGAGCCAGGTGGTGTCGGAGGCCGAGAAGATCGTGGGCTACCCGACGTCCTTCATGAGCCTGCGCTGCCTGCTGAGCGACGAGCTCAGCAACATCGCCATGCAGGTCCGCAAGCTGGTGGGCACCAAGCACCCGCTGCTCGACACCGCCCGGTGAGCCACCGGGGAGAAAGGGGGGGGGATAAAAGGGGCTGTGCTGCCTCGGGGGGCTCCAACGAGGGGTCGGGGGGACAGGGGTTGCGGCTGAAAAGGGTCTGGGGGCGACACAGGGAGCCCTGGCACCGCCGGTTCCCTGCTGCAACAGGTCTGTGCTTGGCCCCCCTGCCCCCGGGGTGTGAGGGCGGCTGCAGGCTGAGCCCCCTGAGGAGCAGAGAAACCCCTCGGGGATGCAAAAAGCAGCGCTGCCCCTTCACCCTCTACTCCCCTGTACCCCCATCTCTCTCTATATATGCTAGTTTTCCCATTTATATCGTGAGGAAGCCAGTGAAAAGCCGGAGAAGCCTCATCAACTTCAAAGCTCGGAGTGACTGCCGCTCTGCACCGTGGGGTTTGTCCCTAAAAGCATTCGCCTGTTTTGGGCCATCCCCTGGGAGCTGTGAGGTTTTTGTTCATGTCTGAGGTGGTTCAGGGTGCCGAGCTGCTTGTCTACCCTTTGGTTTTTAAGGCGAGCTGCTGGTGGACTTGTGTGCCTGCCCGTAAGCAGAAGTTGGATGGTTAGGCAGAGTTTTCATTGACTGCAAAGCACTAACCAACTGGCAGCACTTTTTAACAATAAAGCACCAGAAACTTAGTGATTTTTTTTTTTAAAGTGTGACTTTACTTACTGCGTTGGGTTGTGTTTTCTTGTCTTTTTTTATTGTGTGCCTAGAACCATGCTTGTTAAAACTGAAAGCAGTAAGTAGGACCCAGGCTTCACATGCAAAGTGTTTTTGAACAGGTGTAAAACGAAGCTTAGCATTTGCTCAGAACAAATGTTGTGCTTTTTATTCTTTTTTCCTTAAAGAATAAGAAAATATAGTTGTGTAGTGGTCCTTGGCAATGCTACAGTTACGGTGTAACGATACTGAATATCAGATTTGTTTTTCAAGCTCTGCCTCTGTGAATCTGCTTTTCTTGAGTTGAATTAAGTACAGGGGAAAAATGCAGGTTTTTTAAACAAAAATTCTTTTATTTGGGGGGTTTGGCAGTAGATATTGCTAGAAGCAGACTTCTCTAGGAGAAACAAATCAACTTGTTAATGGAAGTGTAAAACACCCGACTTCAGAAAATGCTGCTGGAGGGGGTGTTCTCTGGATTTTTTGGAATCGCTTCTAGCTACAGATTGCAGCAGTATGATAAGCGTGGAAAAGTTTTCTTCTCTTTTGTAAGAGGCAGGAACAACAAGTGCTTCTTTTCTGCCTTCTCACAGCTCTTTTTCTGCCTTTGGTGGCGTTTTGTAGGGTGGGTTGATGGAATGCAGTTAGCAGGAGGACCCAAACGCAATATATTTAGTTCCCATTACAATCACAGGAGTATCAGAGAGTCCCTGAGCGTTAAAGCTGGACTTCAGCGCTAGCCTTAAAGTCTGTTCAAGGCACAGTAGTTACTAGCTTATTTGTGAATTAAGCTAAAAACCGTTATTTTAGGGTATGGATGGATATTTCAGGAAAGGGCTGTGATGCTTCGTTGTGCTTTTTTGGAGTGATGCTCACAGGCTGCATTGGGCTTAACACTTACTAAGCCTGTGGCTTGTGGAACACCATCAGGATTATAATTATGCACAGGGCCAGCTGGATCAACTCCATTCATTTTTTGTGTGAGTGTGGGGAAATTCATATATATTTCAGTGCACACTAGTAACCTGATGCATCACGGTGGAAACAGTATTCAGTATTTACTAAAAAAAAGCTGAATGTTGTGTGTTGTTCTATTTACTTCTCTGATACTCCCAAAGGCTCTGCTGGCCATGCATTTCCAACGGTCTTGACCTCTATATCATAAGAAAAGCCAATTTCCTGCTGTAAATTTTTACTGCGCTTGTAGCGACGTTCAAGTTGTACGTTACCTTGTTTTATGGCCTGGTTTCGCAATAATGTGAATTTTGACTGTGCTCTTTCTTAATACATCCCTGAAATGTGGCTGTTGTGTGCTCGACTATAAGTATAATCCATGTCAGTTATGGGGCTGAGATCTATTCTCTGCCTTAGCACAGTTATTTAAGAAACAGGCTTTTATTTTTTTACCTGTGTTTATAAACCAATATAGGTTTCTTATTATGTGTTCTAGGCAGACGTTTAAAAGTATGGGTATCTAAAACATGTTTTTGGTGACTTCTGAAAAGCTTTTGAGTGATGGATACGTTGCTCAGCTCTAATCTTTCAGACTGTGAGCGTTGTATACTTCTATTAAGTACTCCAACGCTTGAAGAGATTTTTCTCTGTGTGTGAAAACTGCTGTAAAACTGATTGATTGCACGTGTTGTTTCTCAAGTTGCTACTCATTTATTTTGGAAGCTATATGATATAAGTAGTGACAATCAAATTAGGATTACTTGCTGTCATTTCTGAGCCGTATTCATTTTCTTTGACCATGAGCATTTTGTCCTCGGTGCTCCTTCCTTTGTTTCTGTCCTCCCTTCCTGTCCAAATGCTTTGTTACTCCTTGAAGTCTTCCTTACCCCGTTATGGGTTTCTTAAGCATTAGTAGAAAAACCTTGGATTTGCGGGGCATAGGTCCAGAAGTGAGACAGCACAGGACATCTCTGCTACCACATTGAGAGCCTGTAGTGTACGAGGAGTGCTAATGAGCATTTTTTTAACCATTTGCTGTGTTTTGGGTCAGCAGGCTGTTGCAGCGCGTAGCCAGTGCCGAGAGCCTTAAAGAAGTCAGCTTAAAGATAAAGTCAATGAGAGGCACGGCGTGTGGAGGAGCAGCTGTTGGGGCAGGATACATTTCTCGGGTGATCCCATCCCTTTCTTCCCCTGGTTTGGATGCGGCAGCTCGTGGGTTGGAGCGCCTGCCATGAATCAGGAGGGCAGCAGGTGTTCCTCGGGGATGGTGCGCGACCCCGAGAGCTCCGACCCAGCCTGCGCCTGGCCAGCAGCTCTAAATCTGCGAGCTATTGCTGAGTCTGCAGTTGCTGGGGGTAGAGGAGGGTAACTGACCCCAGCAGCGAGGGATTTGGGAATTCTGAAAACCACGTGGTAAGGTCAGCCGGGGGTTGTCTTCCCCTTCGGCTTTTGGTTTCTTAAGTCAGCCTCATGAAGAGAACGTCCCCGGTGCTGGCTTTGCCAGACTTCTTAGAGAGAGGGTGAAATGTGAAGGGGGAAAAATTCATTTCAGAAAGGCTAACGTTTAGTGGTTAACAGGTCATTGGGAGTTGGGGTGTCTGGATTATATTCACAGCTGTGCTCCTGGCACTCTGACCAGGGCAAGTCACTTAATTTTTCATGCTTGCGTGTACTTATCTGTGAAACGCATAACACAGCATCTGCTTTCGGGGGGTGCTACGCTTAATTTATTACAGCCCTCATCGATCACTGTGATCTTTCAGTGGAAAACGGTGTATAAACAATATTAACAAAGAACGCTTTAAACAAATGCTACCGTTAAAATATTCTCCTCTAATGGACGCTGTGGAAGCAGAATTGCTTTCTGACTACCGCTGGATCTTTCTTTGTAGTCCTGTGAATCACCAAACTGTTTGTCAGAGCTTTCATTTTTCTTTCCCTATAATGAAGTGATTTCAGCAGCTACTCAGAACTAATGTATAATTTTTTTTTTTTTACTCTTTAGGTTTTGTTGTACTAAAGGAGGTTTTTTTCAATGAATAAGCGTGTGACCTTCTTTTCAGATGGGAAGGAAATAAATCTCCACTCCTCTCTCTTCTCTCTGGCTGACATACATCATTTTTAATATAGGAAAGAATCTGTAATTGGCACAGCAATCTACTTTTCCCAAATACATAGTGCAAATAACATTTTCTTGATTATTTAATATCCCTTGAGAAGGGTATAGCTTACTGCAGATTGTAAACAGTAAACGTTATGGCCAGTGCATCGCTTTTACAATACCAGTAAATGAAATGGAGCACTTCATGCACGTAAAATTGTTACGGGGTGCCGTTTAGCACTAGTCGTTGTGTCATTAGCATGTGGGAGGAATGGTTGTATTTCAGCTCCGTCAGAACTGTTTGTTGGTGAGGAATCCGTATGTAAATGTAGTTACAGTTTTCCTGGCTTATTACAGAAATAATAATAAAAATCGATGGAGTGGGTTTTGTTCTGTCGCAGCCTGCCCCGTGTAGATTTTTGGTCATTTTAAGCACTGAGCCTAATGTGCAATCCAGAGCAGTTTGCAGGGTAGGTGATTTGGGGTTAAATTCTCTTATAGTGTTGGATTCCTGGTAGTTGGGGTTAAATTCTCTTATAGTGTTGGATTTCTGGTAGTTGAAATGGCTTCGTTTGGTAACACCTATCTAAGTCACAAGATGTGGTGTGTTCTTCTTTTCCTCCTGCAGGGATGACCAAGTGACAGCAGTGCTGGGGCTTTGTCCCAACCATGTATGGGTGGAATTGTGGCTAGTTTGTATTTTACTGTGATCTTAAAAGTATCATTTTTTACTGTTGTATGTGCTGTGATTGACTATGAGGAGCTTTTTAGCAACTTCTTTCAAATGTTAGTTTATTTTAATTTTTTGCGATAGAGAAATGAATCTTCTGAAGCTTAGGGCTTCTGCATGAATCCTTCAAAGACCAAAACTTGCTCCAGTCTTCTAGGTTTTAATGAAGTGCTGAATCTCTAAAGGTCCTTGGGGAGTGACATCCCTCTCCTTCTGTTGCAGGGTAATAGGTTAAAACAAGTTCTCTAAACAAGTGCTCTATAAGTTTGGTACTAATTGCCAGATTAGTGTAATACTGGTGGTGATAACAAGGTTAACCTGACCCTGGGAAGACTTTTTTGAAGGGTACTACGTAGCTGATGGAAGCAGGGATGCTCACAGGACAGCTCCAGCTGATGCACTGAAGTGAAATTCTTGCTTTGGCTTGCCCCATCAAGAAGCTTCTCTCCTTCAGGAAAGGCTGGCCTTCCCTGGCTAAGTTGATGCTCGTGAATATCTTTCAGTCGGTTTTGGTGGACTTTAACTTCAAAGAAACTTGGTCGTGTCATGTGTC